AAGTGAAAAAGATGTCTTATTTCATCGCTTTTTTCTTTTGGTAGCGTGTCTAATTTCTCTTCTCTCTTGCTAGCCTCACCAAATCTAGACCATCAAAACTTTTCATGCCTCTTAGTATAATTTCATTGTTAATGACCTCTTGCCTTTTCCCATGGAGTTCCCAATTCACGGCTGAATATTCCCCAAATCTTCCACCTTCAAAAGTCATTTTACATCCTGCTTTCACTGAACTACTTTCCTTTTTAAATGCTTTACTTTCCTGTTGACCCAGAAAAAAAAAAGGGGGGGGGGAAGCAGCATATGTTTTATTAAAATATTCCTGTAACTATGAATCAGCAATAATGGGTTCTATTTTAAAACGCAAAAATTTCAGACTACATAAGTAAAAATAGAGTATTATAAATAAAATTGCAAGCTATCTCCCCTCACAATACCTAACAGTAGTAAGCTTCTTTTAATTTTTCTCATCTGAGAGAAGATATTGAAAATGTGCTGATAATGTTGAGAAACATTAAAAATGATCAAAAGATTAGGAAATATGAAAAAAAACAAACATTTTTTCCAGTCTGGGACTAGACTGGAAAAGATAATATGAAGTATAAATAGCCTTAAAAGATATAGCCACATTACAAATGTACCCTCCTATTAATATACACATCGTAAGGGCAGCCCTCTGATATAACTCAAAAAGTGAAGGAGGCATAAAAGGACACCAATCTTGTCGTGGGGCAGGTGCTAATCAGAAACTCAAAGATGTAAGGACTATTTGACATATACACAGATACATCCAGTCAACACCATTTGCTTCCATCCTGTGAAAGAAAACAAAAATTAACAGGCAATAGCTACTAAAATACACTTAGTTGTTCTGTAGATAAATAAAGCATTCTTCAATGACTTCATCTGCTGCAGCCCCTGGCTAAGATGGTTTGCAGCAGCGCAAGTAGAACTCCAAAAAGAGGCTGCCTATTCTTCAGCTCAGGACTGTCAAAGAAAAAAGGAAAAGGGTTTTACCACACTAAAAAGGTATTTAGTTCAGCCTATTCAGTGACCTGTGCAAGAAACAATAAGCCAAGCAAAGGATGGACTTTTGTCTTGATAAAGTAGGATGATAGGATTCTTCAAAGAACATAGATCTCATCTCTGAGATATTTTAAAGATAGAAGTGCCTAAAGCCAGAGCAAACCAGAACAACTTTTTAAGGATCCTTCAACCTGATTTACACTTTGCCTTAATATTCTAGGTATAAAAGAGGTTGTAAACAAAATCCAGGAAGCCAGCAAGAAAAAAGTCATTTCTATAACACTGTGATTATGGAATACATCCCAGAATCTTTCCCAAAGATAATCAGAGGAACTCTAGTGTCATATGAAACCCAAGGGTCCACAAGACAATGACCAGAAGGAGCAAATTATAAATGAGAAGCTTTGGGAGCTCCAACCACTGGATCAGAATTTAATCATCCATGTCAGTAACTTCAATAAACCCCTAACTCTATGCCTTGGAAGGAAACAAGGTAATTTCAGGAATGAGTAGAATTCACTCTCATTCTTTATGCGCTTAAATTATCTTAAAGAAATCTTAGTCACTTCCTGGTAGTTCTTACTGGAGATGAGTGCTATTATTAAAGGTCATTTGCCCAAGCTGATTTTCCACATTTTCTGTCTCATAAGTCCATACACACATTCATTCCTAAACTTGGAAAATGCTTAATACCTTAGGACAGAGAGAGCAGAATACTGTGACATGAGTGCAAAATTTCTAGCCCACAACAAAAGAAAAGTGAATCCTGCTCAAAAAAATGTCTCATAGTCAATCATTAATAATCACTGTGTCATCCTCAATAAAATTACTCGACATTTCAATTTTAGTAACCTCTCTCCACAGGCCTTAACATTTTCCTACTTTATTAGCTAAGTACACTAAAAGACATTCTTTAGTAAAACTAAGTAGTAAAAAATTCACAAGAATTCTGAAGGTGATTTATCATCACAAAACTGTGAAAGAAAGCAGATTCCTACCAGTAAAAGTCACTTGAGAAAACTTAGTGAAAAATCCTCAACAAAAAAGAATATTACATTAATGAATTAACAATACATTTCTGTGTGCAACCACCATTTAATACTCACTCACAATTTCAGTTTAAAACCTTTCTAGTCAATAATTTCCAGGACTGTACTTTGGCTATACTGTAATATGAAATCTGCATATTATGTTATTTAGAAAGTTAAAAAAGAGAAAAATGACTGGTATTTGTTCTTTAAAAAAAAAAAAGTTAATCCACACTTAGATGATAATTTCTCAAACTACACATGGATTTTATTCTAAATTCCATTCGGTTCCTAAAGCAACTGCTCACTTGCAGCCACTATAATGTCAACCTGTTGAGGTTTTTGTACAATACTCTTTCTACAAACTGGCTAGACTTTCCATTACCATAATTTTGCATACTAACATAGACAAATTACTATTGTCATTTTAAGCTGATAGAAATATTCCCAACCTAAGAAATCCAAAACTATTATAAACTTAAATTTTTCTTCAATTACTGAATTCACTTCTCTAGAATCATATGTAAAATTTCACTTGGTAATCAGGCTAAAATATCGTAAGTACAAGGAGTGTGGTTTCTCTATAGTCTCCTCAAAAAGAAAAAATATATAAGAGAATGAATCTGTCAACCTTAACATGGAGTTTTAAAATGAACAAGTTGACCAAAACTACATTACCATATGTCTGCTTAAATAATGAAGAGAAAAAGACAATCCTGAAGTCCCACTGCCCCTACGGTTGTCTAGCTAAGTCCAGGAACAGAGGAACATTTATAAAGCTAAGATCCTGCTCACCCATTCTATCTCTGCAAAATCTGAACTGCTGAAAACAAATCTTTTTTCTTATTGTTAATTAGATAATTCCACGGTGCACTGTGTTTTCTATAATAGAGAGTAATACAGGAGAAATTAACTTGACAAAAATGTAAAAATGTAAAAAAATGATGCCAATTAGTATAATGGTGGCTGGTTTATCTAAGATTCAAAAACCAATTTAAAAGATGGGCTTTCAAAAATCCACATTCTTTTAAGTGAATGCCTTAATCGTTCAGTTTATTTCTTGGGGGACTTAAGATCAGCTTGTCAACACACAAAAAAGTATTATTTTCAGGCTTTCCAAGATTTCCAGTAGCTCATTTTTACCAGAAAGCCTATTTAACGGCAGCCAATTTGCAAACATCAAATTTAAGATTACAGCTTCTGTAAAACAAGAAGAAAGACATCAAAGTTCATTTCAAGTATTTATATTGGCATAGACGGAACAGACTACTTAAGAAAAAACTGACACCAAGGGCTCCATTTTGCTATCACTCATGTGCTACATGCACTAGTTTTCACATTACTTTAATCAAGAGACAGATATAACAAGTCTATCATTTAAAGTACACAAATTCATTACTCCTTCTTTATGTAAGTTTCACATTTTGGCTCACAGCACATATTTGCAAACTAAGTATGCACTCCACTAAAAGGGCAAAGAACAAAGAAACGAGAATAACTTAGCTTCCTTAAGTTTATATTATAACGAAACAAGAAAACAACTAAGTGGGCGCTTGTAATGTAGGACTGCTAGGGTCAATTTTATCATCACTAGAGCCTCAAGTTTCCTTCAAAGTGATAGGGAGAATCCTTATTATCCGATAAATGGTTATTCAGAACTTAACGTAACTGATTTCAACAACTACAGCACAAACAAAAGCACCTTAAATAGCAGACAATGTCTAATTACCTAACTTTTAATGACAATGATAAAAAAAAAACTTCTACTATGTACACAGAAAATCCAATAAATACAGGCATTTTGTCCTAGATTCATGGACAATAAAAGGTCTAATAAGAAACAAAAGAAATTATTCAATTTTATACTCTTACTATAATTAGAAATAAATTTTAATAAACTAATTTCCCTGAAAACTATTTTTCAAGAAGAGTTACCATTTGTTCCAATTTTTCATTTTTTGATCATAGAATTTCCTTGTTCTTAAAGCTTTATATTTAATAGCTTTGTAAGAAAAAATAATAACAAGATTATTAAATAATCTTGTAATATTAAATATTTACTCAAAATATTAAAGATTCAGTATATTAATATTAAATAATAATATAAATATTAATTTATATTAATATTAAATATTATATATAATATTATATATATATAATATATAAGTATATATATTTAGTTATATATACTTATATATATTTTATATAATATATATAATATATATTTATATATAAATATATGTATAATATTAAACATATATAATATATAAAATATTAAATGTATATAAAATATATATATTAAATATATAAATAAATATAAAATAACATATTATTGTGTTAATTATAAATAATATTAATATTAAATAAATATTAAAGATTTACTCAAAAAATTACTCTGTCCTATTGATGGCAGTGAAGGCTGGGGAGAGAAACTAAAGTTCTATGGTTTTTTCAAAAACACTTTAAGACAAATATAACAAATATCTGATTAGAGAAAATAACTTTCAGCTCTTCTAACACAAATATATTAGATACTTTCTATTCAAATACCCCCATACATTCACACATTTTTATATACAGAGAGGATGATGAGCTGAATTTGACCACTTATGGTGTGCCAAGCACTGTGCTTTGAATGCACTACACTTACGGCAACTTTGTAATTGAGCGATTATGTACAGCAATTCTGTCTGGTAAGTACAACTGTTAACGCTATGTACACATGGGGGTGTTGAGGCACGAAGAGGTTGAACAATTCATTCAAAGCGACACAGTTAATCAGTGACAGAGTTAGAACTTAAACCCAGACAGTCTGGCCCCGCATCTGATTTTGGAATTATATTATAGTGTGTATAAGGTACACATGGTGCGTGACACAATGCCTGACACTCTGCAGGCACTAAACAGAAGCGTAACTGTTGTAATACTGCTTCTCTCTTCTTCACTTACTCTGTGATAATTCTGGATCTCCTTTCAGATTCATCATCTTCGGAATAGAAGGGCCATACACATCCACATCTAGCAAACCAACGGCCTTTGACTGTAAGAAAACAGAATTTACTGTCAGATTTTTCCCCACTCTTCATCAAAGATAAAGTGCACAGAAACAGCAGGTCTGACTACAGAAAAGACAATTTGCAAAATACTCCAAAATCATAACCTAAACTTTCAAAGCAACAGTAAGGTAAAAGAACATAAACTGCTCAGGGTAAATATTGTTTGTTGGTTTACTAATCTCTTCTAGATAACTGACTAAAGAAATCTACTGCATCCACTTTAAACATTGTGGTTCAGATCTCCCATACACTCACAAACAGACTAAGACCTTTTGATCTGAAAACTAACAAACTACTTGCACACAATGTTAAAATAATGGTTTACAACAGCAAACATAACCCCAGCAAGAAGGAGCATTAACTTTTGGAAAGACCATCTAACACACCAAAGAATACAAAATGAAGGAAAAAAAGCATAGAAACAAGACCATAATTAAAGCAAGTGAGAAATGCTGATGCAAATCTGGCATGGAAATGCTAACGAGGATGGCAGCAGACATAGTACAGAGACAACCTCTTACGTGCCAGTCACAGTTAAAAACCTGAAGTCTTCCAGAGAATTCATAAACAACTAAAACTGTTTTCCTTGATGATCCACCCAGCTGCCCAAGGGCAGAATATCCCAACTGGTCTCTTCACTAGCTGACAGTTAATCAGCAGGTTAACAAAGAAAGACAAACAAAATTCACTATTCCCAAATATGTCTTTTTTTCTTCTCCTCCCACCACCCCCCTGCTCTTTCTTCTTTCACAGATTAAATCAATGTTATTGGTTTTTCTCATATACAAGCAAACAGAATGCTAATACTAACTATATGCCTTTGAGTTATGTTTCCCCAAGACATACAACTCTCCCCCCTCTCTCCCTGTATCCTGGCAAGATAAAAGTCTTAACCTCTCAAAAAAGATTTTTTTAAGCTAAACAATCTCTCATCTTCCACGTTATCTACCTATTTCCAGACACAAAATTACTTGCTAAACTCCACTGTCTGGTTCCTATAAATAGACAAAACAAGGTACATTCACATTTATGTCCCTAACTTTACAGTGACTCAAACTGCAATTCTAAGAAAATCATTTAATGTCCCTGTGTGACTCACAGAGCACTGGGATTAATATCTCCCTCTACCAAAAATCTCAGCTTACTGTAAAATAAATGAGAAAGGAGGAAGGACACATTACCTTTAATGGAATGGTGATATATAAAATTTGGGTTTAATACTTTAAAAAAAATCACTTTAAAAAAAACCTGGGATGGGCCACCAAGTGAGAGTCCTTGACTTTGTGCAGGAAAAAGTTCAAGAGCAAACTAGCCATAGTAAAATGAAAGCATGTTTATTTAGAGAGAGCCACAGTCCATCTTAGAAGGTGAGAGATGGCCCCAGGACATGGAGTGCTCTTGAAAAGTGAGTGGTGCTGGGTTGTGGGGGGGTGGTTAGTTTTTATGGGCTGGGTAATTTCATAGGCTAATGAGTGGGAGGAATATTCTAATTTCCAGGAGTTGGGACACCACCTACTTTTTGGCCTTTTACAATTGGCCTGGGAACTCTCATGGCACCTGTGGGTGTGTCATTTAGCATATACTAATGTATTACAATGAGTGCATAATGAGGCTCAAGGTATACTGGAAGTCAAATCTGCTATCTTGGGCCTAGTAGGTTCTAGTCAGTTTTGGTCATATCCTTTTCTTCTTAATGGTTGTGTAATTCTTTTAATGGTTGTGTCCTGCCCCCTTTCCTTCCTGTCTCAATACCTTTCTCTCCTCTGTTTCCTTTTTGGTATATGTAAGCATTGGTACTAAATTTAGTTGGTCAGTAGAGATTTTCAGAGAGTATGCAGAGAACCTAACACATAGAGGATTTTCCATTATTCTTAGTTCCATTCTCCAGGAAATAGAGGAACTCTATCATCTTGTGATCTCCCTCCCTGCCCTCTTTATTATGTGATGATGTGTATTAGCAGCTATGTAGGTATATGTAAAATCCATTCCTACCCCAGCAAATTTTAGGGCAGATCTTCAGTTTTGTCTTACCCCATGATGCCAAGGACTCACTTTTAGACAAGCATGGTTTTCTTCTAGAAGACAAGACAAATAGATGATAAATTCTCCCTAACATTTTGAAGGAAACTTGAAGATCTAGTGATGATAAAATTGACCCTAGCAGTCTTACACTGCAAGCACTCACTTAGCTGTTTTCTTGTTTCATGAAAACATAAAGTTAAATTTACTTGACAGGTATTTTTAGAAGATTAATTTGAAAACTGAGACCTAACCCTTTCAGGTTATTCTAAAACAACATTAATATAAATGAGAGCAAGGAAAAAGAATCTTAGAATATTTTTTGTTTTTATTGGCATTATTATTATTTTATGTTTGCATTAATTTTGTAGGTGTCACAAGAAAACATATGGAAAAGAGGTGTTAGTTATAGCATTAGCAGACCCATAGATAATAGTTAACAATTATCCACATTTCTTAAGGTTTTAGGCCCCCTCATTTGAAAATGTTTTTATCTGTAGTGAATTTAATTCTATTTTTAATTCAACTAAATTCTGTTGTTTGTGGTTTAAAAAGGAGTTAAAATCAGTGAGAATTTCTCAATGAATGTTCCTACCTTTTTAAAGCTACTGACTGACCTAAATTTAGTTCCAGTGCTTAGATACATCAGAAGGGAAACAGAGGAGAGAAAGGTATGAAGATCAGTAGGAAGAGAGGAAAGAGAAAGGGAAAG